TTGTGAGTGATTTTTGAAGACCAAGTTGAGGCCAATAAAAGATTGTGTGTTGCTAGGCAATTTATTGGTATCTTTATTCTTAGAATTGAAACACTTTAAATAAGTTATCTGTAAGAGTTATGAAATTAATGATTTCCACAAATAAGTGCGATTAGAAGGGATGTTAAATTTTGTTACTCAAGCTAATAGAGTAAATAAAATAATATACTATATTTGATGAACTGCAGAAAGTTAAGGATAAATTTCGCTCATAATTCGCCTTAGAAAGTTTTGCTTGGGTATTTTTATAAACTCAGGTATAAAATAATTGCTGATAAAGTCATCTTTAAAAACTATAAATTAAATAACTTAAACGTAAAATGTAAATGTAAATGTAAACAATTAGATTACAAGCGGTTCAAGCACACTTGGTCACTAGCCAACTCATAGAATCGGTTCAGAGATAGATAATCTGCGATAAATTCGAAATCAGTTTAAAGATAACAAACTAAAAGCATTGTTTAAATGAAGGAAGCGCGTGAGCTGAAGTCGGACCATCGGTTGACTGCCAAGATTTTGGAGCGCTACGGTGGCAAGCAGGCTGATCAGAAATCTTATCAGCATGTTGGCACACTTGAGTGGCCCAAAATGGTGCAAAGCGGGGTAAACGACAGAAAAGTGGGCCGAGCGAGCCCCACACTCCGATTTAGCAGCAGGGGACTCAGGAGGGGAATCCTCCGTCGGTAAGAAGTCACGGGTCAGATTTTTAGCGAAATCGATAAATTTGCCAGCTCATTACAGCTCGGTGTGTACGACCGCAGCACGGGAGATGGAGCCAACTTCCATGATGAGTGGAAGCGGGTAGCGGCTGCTATTTCCGCTGTATTTATTAAGGTGGTCAAGGGAAATCCTGGACCATCCTCTAATGTGAGAGTGGGGTGGCACCTTGGCATGCATGAAGTTATAAGGTGTGCCGACGAACAGGCGTTAGCTAGGGTAGGGGAAGTGTGGAAAGGAGCAAGGATCGAGGCGGTGACCAAATCGGATCTCCCGAAGCGGCTTCGGGTTCGTGTCTGGCTTCCGGCCGAAATCAAAGAGATGTTGCGCTACTGCAATCCCTCTCTTCCCACCCAAAGTTGTAGGGTGATTATGCTGGAGAGGACAGATGAGAAGCCAGGGCGGATAACCCGCTGTGGGCCCGGGGAGCGGATCGTTAGGTGATGATGGATCCGTCTTCAGTCTCGAGAGCCTGTTCCAGGAAGCTGTGGACTGTTGGAGCGTACTTTGAGGATGAAGATCCTTCAAATTAACCTGCACTCATAGGCGGCCTCCGCCGATCTATTGCTTCCTTTAAGAAGAGACGAAGCCAACGTTGTCCTTATCCAGGAACCGTGGCTGAGTAGCGATGGAATTTCTGGATTATGGACAAAAAGCCATAAGCTCCTGGCGCCAAGCAGTTGTGTTTGTTGGTCAGTAACGGACTTAACGTTTTTCTTTTACCTATTTTCAGCAACGAGGATGTCGTCACTGCTGGGCTGATGGACAGTGCTGGGGAACTCTGGCTTGTTTCAGCCTATATGCCTCCCCTAAAGGAGCCGCACCTTTAATAGGCTCGGATGCCAATTCTAAGCACACCACCCGGACATTAACGCAAGAGGTGAGACACTTTTTGATTTTGTATGTGGTACGGACCCTTCTATTTGTAATAGAGGAAACTGCCCTACTTTTGTGACTGCTAGCAGGGTTAAAGTCCTTGATGTTATGTTAGCTTCTAGAGAAATTGCTCCCTTGATCTTGGAATGGAGAGTTGTAAACGACCATTCTTTCTCTGATCATAAATATATTGATTTTAGCTTGGACGCCTCGCACCCGGAGCTTAAAACCTATAGAAATTTCAGAAATACCAATCAGGACCTGTACTGCAATAAGCTTGGATCAGCTCTTCCAACCGCGCCCGACAGGAATTAGATGCTATCTGCTGACGTGATTTATGAGCTCGTCGAGGCTTTCAGCTCAGTCAGTAGAATTACTTTTGAAAGCTCCTGTCCTCTAAGAACTCGAAAAAGTAAAGAGAAACCCCCTTGGTGGACTTCGGAGCTAACGGAGATCAGATCTTCGAGCAGAAGACTCTTCAACAAAGCCCGTTAAGGTGGCTCTAGTGACGACTGGACGCTGTACAAGACTGGACTGACCGATGAGTTGGGGAAAGCCAAGAGAGCCTCGGGGAAAACCTTCTGCGGTCCTCTACATTGTAGTTGTCATGAGTCCTCACGGCGCATTCTTGCGAAAAATCCTACTTCATTGGGGTATCTGAGAAATGCAGATAGTGGTTAGACAACGAGCAGCAAGTAGTCGTTGAAGCTACTCCGGGATGCTCAGTTTCCGCTGAATCGCTATGCTGAAGAAGTGCACCTGGGGGAGCTTCAGTAGGCCTGTCCAGCGTTCCTGGATCCTTTGGATCAAAGTCACCTTACCTGGGCACTAAAATCATTCAATCAAATGGCCTGGTCCTGATGACATTATACCGGCGCAACTACAGCGTACGGTCAAGGTGTCATGCAGCTGGCAGGCCCCCACCCATTCGAACGGTGTTTGATTGGAACATGTCCCGAAGGCCTGGAGACAGTGTCAACACACAGGGAAGGGTACTTTCCCAACTGCTCTGGATTTTGGTGGTAAATGACCTACTTAAAGAACTCGGGGAACGAGGCTGTCGGGCGATAGCCAACGCTGACGATGTCGTTCATAGGGTTAAGGGAAAATTCCTAAATACCGTCTACGAATTAACTGAAGGGTACCTAACCGTGGTATCTAACTGGGCGAATAAGGGAAAGAGTTAAGAAGGCATCGCTATAGGGAAAAGGGGGGTACTCTTGCAAAGCTGGTGTTCCGGCTCTACGAAACCGTAGTCAAGCCAATATTGTTCTATAATGTGTTCGTATGGTGGAGGGCCTGTGGAGCTTTTTCACGCATGAGTCGAAGTTAGGCGGGGGGGTTTTCTCCGTCAATCTTAGTTTTAGACTACCGGTTCACTGCAGTACTTTTCAGGTGGAATTGGCAGTATCGAGCTGGCGGTAGACGTAATGCTACGAAGTGAAGCCTCGTTTAGAGAAATGAGCATTCATTCCGATAGCAGAGCGGAAATACTAGCTCCGAGCGTGCGAACCGTGCAGTAAAAGCTAGTTAAGGAGTGTCTGTCTTCACTAGAAATACCACTTCAACATTTGCCTCCCTAGGGGGCCTGGTCACAGCGGAATCGCTGGCAACTGCAAAGCCGATGAGCTAGCCAGGGGGTCCCCACTCAAATCGGAATGGGACCGTGTTGGATCTCCATTGACGTCTTGCGTTCTAGCTCTAGACCAATGGACCTCGCGTGCAGTCAGCAGACGCTGATCGACGACCAATTTCTGTGCGACCGCGAGATCCTTCAGGCCGAGAGTGGAGCGCAGAAGGTCTGGAGAACTTCTCGCCTTGAGCAAAGTTCATCTCACCGCTATTGTAGGAGTTCTTACTGGACACTGTCCAATGGCCCCTCATGCGGTACGGCTTAAAATCCGTAAAATAAATTTTAGATACCACAACGGACCGGCGTTTTAAGCTGTCCAAGTGAGACCCTTCTTAGGATCGACCTCCTAACCTAACAACCGTTAGGTGAACAAAACTATTATACTCTGTGGCAACATGTTGCAAGAGTATAAAAAAACTAAAAAAACACGCTAGACTGGAGAAGGTCGTAATAACTTGGTGTCAAACCCGGACCACAAGTTCCCGCAGCTTCCGGTGAGTGACTATCGATGGCTGGCCACTTTTGGGCGATTTCTTCAATTAGACGGTCTAATAGTTGACAGTACACGTTCGAATTAAGAGTTTGATCGTAGGTGTGCAGCTCATAGTGAAAGATTCCCTGTCAATTTCACCATACACATAATAAAACTTTCCTGACCGTCAATCCGGTCCAGGCATTTGCGTAAGCTTACCGTAATTAGACCACGACCGTTTTCGCCTGACGTTGATCCCCATCAACCATCAGCTCTAAAAATCGGTTCATAACTTTTTTGCGTCAACTTTTGTGGCACCCAAACATCTGGCTTTTTTTTGTATCCTGTCTTATTTAAATGGTTTCAAAAGCATTCTTGTACAATTTTTAGCTCTTGAGCAATTGAAACAGTGATTACAAAACAGTCGAATTCGACCATTTGCATTATTTTGTCGATATTTCTGACATTTGGCCTTCACATGTTCTCTTTGTTGATGTACATTTTTGAATCGTGTTCAAACAATACGAGTTGTTTTTAGTATGAAATATTATCTTTCTAATGTCATATTGAAAAAATAATGTGTTTCTTGCTAGAAGACCATATCTCTCGAAGTTTTAACAGTTTCAAGTGAGCTCAGAAAAACTAATCGGCTAACGAAAGAAACCGGTCGTTAAAACAACGGATTTTGTTGAAAATTTATATTTCGCATTATTCAGCGACTGATATTGATACCTTCACTAATCGCTTGTTAACTCTGCACATAACTCAGCGACAAACTAATTTTGTCCTTACATCCTCATCAAAATATAGTTTTGCAATAAAAGTGTTTATTTTCCACACACTTTGGGAACAATGAATGAAAAAGTTGTGCAAATATAATAAAGTGAGTGCTATAAATATATTGACACTCAAATCTTCGTAAGAGCGGCTAACATCCATAAATTGAACGCCGACGCACAACTTTAAATCACAGTTACATCTTCATACAGCGAATGTACACAAAACTGCACACACGCAAAAATAGAAAGCGAGTACACAATGCATTAATTATGAAAATTTGTTTACATTCACAGTGAGTCACTCAGTCATTCAGTCAGGCAGCTCGGCAGTCACTCAAACAGGAAGTTGGGCACTAGCGAAAATAAGAAGGCAGTGAAGCGTCAATGAACTCATGCCCGCCAGTGTGCTTGACACTCACATACACACATAGAGTAATTTTCGCTCTCGCTCCCCACAATTTAGCATCGCAAAACTTTCACTTACTCTTTTGTGCTGCCGCAACAACGAACACCACGAACGTGTAGAGGCCAAAAACTTCACCAATCCTTGTTTGTTCGTATGTATTACACTATCCTTTTGATTTGCTTTCCTGTTTTCTTTTTTCACTTTTTATTTTTTACACACATTGATTTCTAATGGTTATTCAGTTTTGCATTCGTTTGCAATTACTTGCACCGAACAGCTCTAATACGAGTAATATTGGTTAGTGTGTGGTGGACTGTTGTCTGTGGAAAGCACCACATACTACCCCCATTGCGCTCCACAAGTACGTAGTGGAAAGCAGAACCTTATTCGTTTGAAAGCATGCGTTCTCCTTTTATTACTGTAATCACTTTTAACTTTACTGCTTGCCTGCAATGTGAGCAGTGTAAATTTAGAGCGTAGGGTCGAAGGAGCGCGCGCGCTTTTCCTTACTTAACGCGGTTTTACGGGAGTTTCTGGAGCTTCGAACTTTCCTGTCTGATTCCTTATCGGCTACTAAGCAATCCGGCAAAGGTTCGAGTATTTTATGCGCTACAACCAGAGAACTTAAATGAATGAAATGAATGTTGTTTTAAGTTCTCTGCTACAACTTGTTCGCATTCCACACAGTGCCTTTGCGAGTGGCGCTCATCAGCTGAGTTAATAAGAGAGAGATTGTTGCCTTGTGCCTATGGAGGATGGACCTTTATGCTGCCTCTCCAATTGATGGTGAATTCGCAATTTATAAGGAAACATAAGAGCACATGCTCGACTCTTTCGCGGAGAGGATTGGTATTGTGGAGAGTAAATTGGTAGTCTAACAAAGTAGCAGCTGAGTTTTGTTGTGAGTTGAAGAATAAAACTTGTTTTATTTTATTATTTTTAATGAGATACAGAAAAACAACAACCAACTGCCGTAAGTTTTTTCCCCGAATGCAAAAGTGTGGCTTTTTGTGGAAAACTTTCGATCGCTTTGAAGCCTTTGAGCCAACGATACTTAAGATTGTTTCCACATCATTAAGAATTTTATCGACAGTGACCATGAAATGGAAAAAATACTTTAAATTTATAATGATACTGAATGATAGGATCATCAAGCAGAGATGCTAGTAATACAAGTCTCCCGTGAAAATTTGGATTTAAGACCGTGGAGTAAATTAATTCCTTGCCAGCACAAATTCGCAAATAAATTGATAAAGACTAATGAATGAAAAACTACGAAGAGAAATATTTACTTTCAAGAAATAATAAAGAAAACCAACCCTCGTGGGTTTTTGGTCGAATAAGAGACCTACGAAACATTTTCGGGTCCAATGTGGTTAAAGTTCATGATTAGTAATCAATCTGTTAAGGTTTTTCTATTTTTGAAGACCATAGATTACTATCATTAGAAAAATTCAGCGATCCATCATAATTGACACTGGTAGAACTGTTCGGATTATTAAATGCTCTATTTTCAAACTTTGTTGCGATTGTGGGTGTCAAGCTCAGGTTCGCCTTTAAACCGATATATTTCCATCATTGTGTTGAAAGTAACTGGGTAAAATCCAGCTTGAAAACAAAATTCTCTAAATTCACACATGGGTGAGAAGAGTAAGAAGTAGTAAATAGGTAGTACATAGTTAAAGACAATAAAGAAGACGAAAAGAAGGAATGCTTTCTATTTCAATGTGTCACTAGTTCTTTTATGACAGCTAAGTAGTTAAAATCATTCTAACAGTTTAGAATCGGACTCATCGAAATGCAACAATAAGTTGATCTTTAATGGATGTACACTGACTTAAAAATTCGTGCTTACATATCATCGACGAAGCAAATTTTAATATAAAATAAGAAAAACCATAACATCGGCTGCACTGAAGCAAAAATACTCTTCACAAATAAAAAAATTTTGCGCACAATGATTTGATTTTGATCGTTCAGTTTGTATGGTAGCTATACTCGTAGAGTATGTATTATAGTGTTGCGATATACAATACTTTTTCAAAAATTTTCGCATTGCTTTAAAAAAATGGATGCAAATAACTTGAAGATATTGTGTAAACTAGAATCGTGTACCATACAGGAATATCAAGATCTGACAAGACATAAGACTATACTAGAAGACACTGAAATTGGTGGAACTCGTCATTTGTTTCAATATTACCAATAAATTGAATTTCTCCAAAATTTTTACAACCCCTGTAGAAAACCAAATGAACTACGATTACTCTTATCTTGCATATACAATATATAGAAGAAAACAGTTTGAGAGGCTAAGTTGCTATGAAAGTGTGGTTACATTTAAGCCGAGAGGAGCGAATCCAGTCAGCGTATTGGATTCACACACCATTGCAGAAAAGCTTTAAAAAGTGGAATCTTTATTTCCAAAAGGGACCGGCACTAGCTATGGTTATACACTTATTTAAAATAGGGTAGTAGTTTTTGATACATAAAATTTTTATTTTCTAACATCTACAAGTAAGATCTAACTTTGATCGCTTATAGCATTTACATATAAGCCTGACATAAAAACAAAATACCCCATTAAAATAAGAGGAGAGGGTAGATTGTGTTCATATCTTGCCTTTTTTAGTAACTTACATATTATAATTAGTATTGATGTTTGAGATAAGCTTAATTTCGAAGCCCTATGATTTCGGGGGCTAACTTTGTAGATATTACTTTTTTACTAATACTTTGCTCTCGAAAAAATAGGTTTGGCCCAATACTCTGAAAAAGTTGGCGTTGTCTTATAGGATTATATTAATATCTAATTATATATAATATATCGTTATCATTATCTTCAACAACTTCAATTGCCGAACGCTCATATCATTCACAATCCTGTCATCTCTTCCTCTTCTCACTGATCTTCAGTTAATATCTTTCTGTTTTGGATTCCTCACAAATGGCTGAAGTAAATGAAATTATTTAAGTAAGTCACTATACATCCACTGCAGGACTAACCCAGCGATCAGCATGTACTTAATTCGTTCCATCATACAGTAAATTATTTTATGTCTCACTGTCACATTCGTCTCTCGTATTTAATTACGCACCTGAAGCAATGGCGCAATAGTTAAAACAAAAACAAGAAAAAACGTTAAAAAAACAGACAAAAACAAGAAAGCAAGAAGCATAATAAAGCAATAAAACCTAACATCTTACATGCCGCCCGGATGGACTTTGCCATTATTCTTCTATTTTATATTGTTTTTGTGTCACTTTGTTTATATGCATGTGACAAGATAAACATATATAATAACGCTGCAGCAACGTCACCTTATCGACTTTGATGTTCGCCACAGGCCGCGCCTTGTTGCAAATAATTATGTACCGTTGTTTTTAATCTGCTTAAACTTCTCAATGGAATTGGAAAATTGCCGAGGAACATCAATAATATTGCATATCCTGCATGTGCCACTAGACAATGAAAAATACAGAAAAAATAACACTAATCATTGCACTATGTGGTTACTTACGTGCTTACTTTATTGTATGTTGTTAGTGGCAACAACATCAACAATATTCGATTTCATCCACCGAGAGCGAGCGCTTAGTTACAGGAACAGGGAAGCGACTACTTTTGTAATGTAATGCACAAGGCTTAAAGCGAGTATTATGCCACAAGGAGAGTGCATGGTCAGACATATATGCAAACTAGGGTGGTTCTTAAATGAGTGAGAAATTCAGATAGGTAATTGCCCACAATCGGAAGTAAAATTAATATTGAACATATACGACTATAATTGCACCGGTTTTACATATTTGATAAAAATTTATAGTATTAACGAGCACACCTTGTGGGTAATAAAAATAATTGATTTTATATATATTTCAATAGGTGATTATAAAATATTTTTGTGAAGCCCCTTTGCTTGTCAAATTGCTGGGAGACGATCATTATCAAATTTCTGTATGTTCTGTATATACAATAGTTCGCCACGACTTACGAGTTTTTTGATCTAATCAAAAATTTGATTTTGCGGGGCCGAAAAGCACCAAAACATTGTGTAAAATTTAACTTTTTTTAAAAAACGCCATAATTTTGTCGGTTTTTTTGGACCGCACGTCATTGTACGGACAGTATCTTTTAGTGAAATTTGGTTTAGGTGTCATTTCCGGGGAAGACCGGAATCAGTGCTGCAGTGGAGGACATTTTTTTAGTGCCGTCGATAATCATGTTATATTTTTTCTGTGTATTCTTAAAATACGTATGTATAAATATACCCGTAGATTTTTAAAACTATGTAGTTGTTTTTTAAGGTCTAAAAATCGGCTTTCCATGGCTGTCACACTAGGTATGTTCCTTAATTTAAAATTTGAATTCCAAAAGATGCAAAAAAAATATGTGTCAACGCCATCAATACTCGTTTGTGATGTCGTTGACAATAGTATCATCGAATACTGAAGTACGACTGGGCAATCTCATACTTGAAATTTCTAGGCCCACCTTAATCTAGTAAATACGCTAAGTGCTTGCAAGAATACAAAATTTAGTCAGTCAGTGCACATACACACACACACATCTGAGTGAACGCAGATTAAGCAAATTTACAATAAAGTTATGTTTGTACATATTTGCTTAGTTTACACACACACACACATAAGTTCCGTTTTGCACCGCATTTGCATCCATAAATAAATATATTGTATGTTGTATAGACATTTCTTAAATGTTTTGTAGTTTATCTTTGCAATTTATGCATTTTACATGTGCAACCTTCAGTGTGCCATACAAAATAGTCCAAATATTTCACACATGCATACAAATACATACACACACGAACACGAAGTAAAAGGCAAAGGCCAGTTTGAGTTAGACAAATGACTTAGCTCCCTGAGATACATTGTGTTTTCGCAATAAAAACGAAATAAAATGCTTAAGGGAAAGCAATTTTTAGCACATATCGCCCACATTAATAATTTCTAGTGCAAATATTTCCATTCGTAAACACTTTTTGGGTGTCGTTTGATAAATTATGATATTTTAAGTAATTCATTAATTATTATTCGCTTCAACAAAAAAAAAAAACATGTCTTTGCCAGTATTATGTATGTCCATACATGCGTTATTTCAGAAGATATCTTTTTCAAACGACGAGTTTTGTACGCGGAGGATTTAATTAATTGGAGGAGTTGTAAAATAACGCTTATATACAATTAGTAATAATTTACAACTCGCTTTGCTCCCCACAGTAATAAAATCACTTTTTATTTTGTTAAATAATAAAATGAAAATCACACTCAGCATTAATTTTAATTCCTATTATGAAATAAAACATTATTCCTATAGAAAGTCCTATAGATAGATCTGAAATGAGAGAATCTCGATTTCAATGAAGAATAATCTAGTGAAGTATAAGCCCATGATGCAAATAATTTTTGCAATGTGTGCACGAAGGATATAACAATTTTTACAAATGAAAATATACAACATTGAACAGCATATAATAAAATCCCTTCATTTTATTACTTAACCTAACCTCAATTTCGTTATTCAAAAATATTGTATTATTAATTTGCTTAATTCCGATTTTAGGTAAATTCAAAAATTGACTGTTAGTCCCAAAATCGAAATAAAAAATTAAGAAACTATTTACTAATAATTGGAATAACAAAAACAAATTAATCTTCAAATTAGAAGCTAAAATGAAAGGGAATATATTTATATTTTGATCTGAAACACAATTAAAAAAAAAAGAAAATGTAATGAAACAACGAGTGTTAATCTATTTGATATTTTATTAAAAATAAGCTTTTCTTTTCAAGAGATAACCAAAATAGTAGAACGCGAAGGACACACACGAAAATATAAATAGAGCAGGTTCGCCTCCGCGTGGTGCATCCT